ATTTTAATGATAGAATCTGCTATATGTCACATGAATGTCTGACATGTCGTCAAAGACACCCATTCTCTTTACTAATACGTTCTCTGCTTTTAGGTCTCGGTGTAATATCGTCCTCCAACCGGAGCGTCTCCAGGGATGCTCCATGTTGATACCCTCATGCAGGTATGCCATCGCGGCAGCTAGCTGCACGTATACGGACCACATGAACTCTTCCGAAAACGTCCCGTCGTTCCCTGCTCCCAAATTCCGAGATTGGACCTGGAAGAGGTCGCCTCCAGGGCAGTATTCGAGCAAGAGTGTCAAATCACGTGGGGAAGGTTGGCCCTCAATGTAGCCCAGACAATCTATGATGTGCGTGTGAGGCATGAGGTTCAGCAAAACCGTGAGCTCCCCCACTGGCCGTAAACGAGAGACGACCTTGACAGCGATGAGCGAGCCCGTGCGCGAATTTCTCCAGGCCTCAACATAGCCTTCTGAACCCTCTTCGATTTCCTGTATGCGCTCGTACTGGGAAAGAGCCGGAATAAGTGTATTCCGATTTGCCCCTAGTCTGAATGGATTGAAGGACATGACGGTTGAGAGGTTTGCGACCGGTCTCTCTGGCAAGTGATACAACGATGGTGGGGTATTGATAGTGAAAGTATGATTATAAGTGGGCGGCAGTACGAGTGTGTGTCTGTTGTTCTCACTTCGGGATGTGTGGAGTGTTGTTCCAACGCATTAGCAACAGCTGGGGGCGTAGTTGCTCATAAATGAACCGCGTTACTTGATCGCACTTTCACAACATATGAAGTACAAGCGGGCAACTGCTTACCGAAAGTGAACCTCAAAGCCAAGACCGTTACTTCCTTGCATATGTTCCTTGATTACCTAGCGGTGACCCAGTCCCATTGCAACAACATGGGTGTCCGAATAATAGAGCTAATAACTGACAGCCTATCAATCACTTCGCCATTTCATTCAGGCGTCATTTATAATTTCACTGCTCTATATCGCATTGCTCCCACATGTCCGAATACCGAGCACTTTGCGTCTTGACGTGATTGTTGAGATGACGAAGGAGTCTGGCTGGATATATATTGTGTCTTGTGGTACCACAGCAATCAGTAGGCTACGCAAGAAATATCATACGTACTCGATGACATGTTGAAGAATCCCGTTATAATGTTTGTTCCAAAAGCTAGATGGGAGAGTTCAGGCTGAGTTAATCCAGCCAAGCATTTCGGCGATCTGGATTGAAATCTCATTGATCTAGTAGTTTATTGCGTGCCATAAACCTTGAACGTGAAAATAGTTATTTAATTTTTTGTTCATTTCTATTTATGTCTATTCGTTTGTCCCAATACCCACCGATAGTTGTATGGTCCTTCCAACTCCCCAGACACAGCATAACCGTGGGAGTTGTACTGATTTTCCTTTTTATTTCTCCTTACTCCAATGCATGCCTAAACTTATTTGCCCCACGCTGCGTCCCTCTGCTCAAACTCCACAAACTCAGACGCCCACTTCTGGTGCTCTGGTCCAACAAAGTGACCCACAGTCCAGACTGTAACATCAATACCCGAGCTCACACCAGCAGCATGTACGATTCTGACACCCTTGTCATTCAAGCCTCCATCAACCCAGCGCAACTCCTCCATGATCTGAATGTTCGAGGGACCACCCGCAGCCTTATCCGCAATCTCGCGCAGCTTGTTGAAGCTGAGGTGATGTGTTGTGCACTTGCGCTCCTTCAACACACCTGCAGCGGCGAGCAGAATAGCACCCGTGCACACACTCTGCAACACCCGCTTGCCAACCTCTGGGCGTGGCGGCGTGGCAGCAAACTTCTGCAGCATGGCGGTGAGCTCCTTGCCCTCTGGCGACGCGATCAAAGCTTCGAGAGTGTCCTCTCCGGAGCCGGGAATCACAAGAATATCGTACTCTTCGATCTTGGAGGCGACTTCTTGGAATGTGGCTTGAGGGACGTAGGTGAGGGCCGCGCAGGCGGAGGATACGGGATTCCAATGGGAAAAGGTTGTTACTTGGAAAGGGGGTTCGCCGGAAAAGTCGCGAGGAGGAGCAGAGAAGACTTCTGCGGGTCCAGTGAAATCGAGGACATCGCCTTTGGGGAACAAGTAAATCGCTACTCGGATGGGTGCCATTTTGGGTGTGATGGGTTGTGAAGATGTGCGTAAGGGTTAGAAGATGGATAGGTTTGATTGGTTTAGGAGAATTGAAACTGTGTCTTTGTGATTTGTATGGTTTGGACTGAATTTAGTTATCGACAACTGTTATATAACGGTGGACGTTGTTGTGTTGTTGTATGCCGACGTAGAGAGGATGTCGGAGCGGACCAGAACATCGCTCCCGTTGCCGAATCTGGATTACAGATTTAAGCCTGTTAGCGAAAGTTTGTCGACCAATGGCCGGGATATTACTGACTTCGGAACGGCTCGGAAACCCTTACAAACTCTGAACTTTAGTGTTTTGTTGGCGTTCCTGGAAGAAGAACAAGTACCGCATAGTAGGATTGCTTGTGGTCTGCGACTCACCGACTTACCGACTCACCGGTGTCTCGACGCTGACACTCTCGACCAACGTCTCTTTCGACAGTAGGGTTTGAAATGAATGGTTGATGACTGTGAGGAGGCATGTGCGGCCAATGAAATATCGTTGAGCGATTGAAGCCGCGGACCACGACTCGTGCTCACATCCGCGAAGCGCAAATCGGATACGGTGGACTGAGATTCTACTGCTGTGGCACACACTGTGTACTACCCTATTGTGTATGCAGACGGGCAAGCTGGAGTGAGGCCTTACCAATCAATGGCCTTCTACATGCTAGATAGCATACTGTGGTAAGTATGCGTGAGCTGTGAACTTCTTGATTAGTTAGACTACTTTAGCCCTTTACCCTAGAATAACCGTCTTCCTCCTTGTAGTAAATTGACCTTAGAACTATACCTATATAGTATATTAGTAGAAAGCTTCTCAAGAAAGCCTTGTTTTCTGCTAGACTTAGGAATATCCTCCTATACAACTTAAATCCCTTTTTAGGACTTGTACTCCTGTGGAACTTCAGTAAAATAGCCGAAATTGTAGGCGACAAAGCTTCGTTTGTGTAAGGTGGTTGCATTCAGTATCCATATTGAGGAAGTGGCGTGATCGGTAGGCCAGTAACAGAGCCGGCGCGAAATAGCAGCGCGGAGAAGCAAGTTCATCTTTGTAGCATTAGTACTGTGCTTGTGCGCAAAGGCTGTGCACTCAGATTGAATGTAATGGCTTCGCTATATTGAACGGGAGAGTATCGGGGGGTCTGAACGATGATAACTTGACGTGTTGTGGCGATAAGTTTTCTCGTGCGTACGCTTCGAGTCGGAAGTGATGGCCGGACGTATCGGAGATGATTATCGATATAGTTACAACCCAAAGCCAAAGCTGGCTCCACTATCTCCTTGAAAACCTGCATCAAACATCCCGATACCTGCCGTCACTAGACTGTCGAACTGACCCCAGCTGGTCAGATCCGCCATCACGCTGTTTGATGCGAAAAAATTGGAGTTGAAACCAGCACTCTCGGGTGTCGGAGGTACATTGGTCGCATTGTAGAAAGCGCCCATGCCGGGGCTCGCAGAGTCCGTCTGTGGCGTTGTAGAGACCGGAAGCAGTGTGTCTTGCAATGCAGCATCACCAGATGTCGGAGCGTTATCCGCAGCTAACGGAATCGGTGTCTCGCTAGCATTGGATAGCCGGCCACTTGTACGCGAAGCCTCGACACGGAGTTCTTCGAGAACCAGACAGTAACGCTGAGCAAGACAATCTGTTCCGCTTACGCTTTCTAGTTGGCGTTGACACTTTTGACCTGCTGCAAAGTAGTTTTCACATCGTCCTGGTGTGATTAGATGTTGCTGTATACGGTAAATGTATAATACAACGACTGCACAGAAGGCGTAATACTGTGTAAACCAGAATGACCGGAAGAGGTTAGAGGATGTGAAGACATCGTCTACGACTCGAACAATATTCATGGCAGCCTCGAGACAAGTCGTTACATTGGTACTCGTATCGATACCAGCACTATTTCCCCATGCGGGATTCGTAGGCATATGCGTCAAACTTGCGAAGTCGCGGAGCAGAAAAGGTCGGTGGATCAAGATTATGGCGTGATAGTAGGCCAAATTCAGTACGCTCCGTTGACGCTGGTATATGGGGATCAGGAGATGTCCATCAATGCCCCCTCCATCAGCTGGATCTGACAAGAAACGAGACAGGGAGTGCCGCCATGCGTGTAGATCATTAGTGTACTTGGAAGAAAGTTCTACCCGAAGCGTAAGGCTCGGTGGTCGAATGGAGTAAAGATCGCGAAGCACAAGAGAAACTATGCGTGTGAGCTTGATGTGTTCCACGGGGCCCATCATAATGGAATGTGACTTGGAAGATGTTGGTGACATGTGGGTCGGATGAAGATCGTTGTCGTTGACGATGGTTGGTAACTCCTAGGCAAAGTCAGTGCAAATCATGGCTGAATATTGCTGTTGACTGACCTGATCTATGTCCTCATCCTTGAACGTGCGTGGTCTTCCCAGCGCAGCTGCTAGATACTTGTCCAAGGAGTATGCGCACCAGAAGAGCCGACGACGACTCTCAATCTCGATGTAATCGACCTTACCTCTACTTGAGACGTCGTACCTCCGTCCACGATGTAGTCCTATAGCAAACGCGAGGTGCGACAACGTCCCAAAGAGACTCCAACAGTGGTTTATGCGAGATTGCGTAAGAAGGTAGAAGCACTGTAGTAGCCGTGTTTGTACACTTGCTAATCGCACGGCACCACGTTCCTTGGAAAGCTGGTGTTCAGCGGCGAAGAAATATCGTGCACTATGGCCTGTGAGCACGCGTATCGAAACAAAGATACGGATACTGACCTGTTTTCTTGTATGGTGCTCCCAGGTGGCATATACGCTTGTGCTTGCGCAAACACCACCATCAGTAATGCAGCCTTCGCCTTGCTATCCTCACGCCCTCGCATTTCACCCTGTGTCTCATAAAACTCTTCCAAGAGATTTTCAATGCTTGGTCGATGCAGGAAACGGTGAGTCGGCGCTGCATAATCGAAATACCTCTCGACTAGCCGCTGCGCATCAGGTTTTGGCGGGAGTACAAAGAAAGAAGGATCAAACTCTGGTAGTGGTGCATCGCCAAAAGTGAAAATGCTGGAGTCGTGGGAAAGAGAAGAGTTTTGGTGAAGACGCTTCTGGATCCTGAGCAGGAAGGATGCTGCAGATGACGAGCCGACATAGTGACCTTGCGAATCTGTCTGGCCTTGTGCCGGTTCGGGCGAGCCTCTTGATTGTGGATCTCGCGTTGCAAATCCATCCGAGGCCTCGACTCTTTCTGTAGTATTGGAAACTGCTGGTTGATCCACAGTAGGCGATGGATGAATACGTGGATATTGGAAAGAAAGACTTGGAGTGGGAATTGCAAGTGAATCATGCCCCGATGGCTCAACCGACTTTGTAGTTCTGTATCCATCGTTCTCTGCAGTCATGGGGGTCTCATCTACAATGACTGATGGGAGTCTACCTCGCGTATACGATGCTGTGAACTCGCATGGTAGACCAGATTTTTGGCAGAGGGCACATGGACATCTGCCGCTGCATCTCGTCTTCTTCCTATCTGTGTATCAGCATCCTCATGAAGCACGTGAGCCAGAGGCAGAGTACGCAAGCAACGTCAACTGTCAAAACATGAGACAGTACTTCTATCCAGGATATTCTGTACCTTTTACACCGGTCACACGCTCTGCTCACTCGTGTCCTTTCTCTCTGCTCTCTTCTTCTCTTGGCTGGTGGTGATTGCTGACTGCCTGGCTCATCCGGTCGTGTTGCGCTCGTGGGCCCGCTTGTAGCAGTACCGTGGGCGTTGGCCGGTGTCCACTTGGTTTCCGCCTTACTTTCCACGTTTTCGGGTGAGCCCTGAGCGGTGCTTCTACTATCCATGACTGCCCTTTGTGTGGAGATTAGTGTCCAATGCGACAATGGCGGAGGTGAGAATCAACCCTACCTCGGAAAAGCCGATCGGCAAAACTGCGCCGCCAAGCATTTCCGGATAACCAGGTACCGGTACATAGGGCTCTTGCCAATGGGCACAGCTTCACACCATCTACGCAATACTTGTAGAGATTTTCTCCGCATAGCATGGAACAATTCATGTTCTTCTTTGTTTCAAATTGAATTGCTGTTATAATGACTTGGGTATCTAGGTATCATCAAGTTCGTCCTAAGAATGCCCTCAATGATAAGCTACCGTACTACGCCTCCGTCCGTCATACGCGCCTTGCAAATTCATTCGATCACTAATTCGTAACTATAACTCTCCACGCAAGCGCCGCCATAGCGATGGACGTGATTGTGGTGCAGCTTGTGCAACTGACTGTTGTGTTGTCTCTTGTGTTGCAGCCTGTATTGATGGCTGTAGTGCTTCTGTCGATGGTTGCGTTGCCTCTGTCGATGGCTGCGTTGGTTGCATCTCCACCGCGGCTGAGTTCGCATTTGCGTTTCTTCCCCGATGCCACACACTATGGCCATACAGAAAATATTGCCAATTCCTGATCTCTGGTGCCGGAGTCTGTGCTTCTAGCTCCGCTGGTGTTGGTGCCGGTGCAACAGCAGCGAGTTGCGCCGCCTCCTCTTCGTCAAGCGCTTGCATGGCCTCTTTGCTATAGTAAACTGCGCGACAGATTGGACAACTTGTCTTGCGAAGCACGAACCACGAGACGAGGCATTCAGCGTGGAACTCGTGCTGACAGACTTGCAACTTAAGAATGGTCTCAGGCTCGTCTGCTGTTGCTTCATCCTTCACTGATGGTGGTCTCGCTGCTTCATCGGTAATAGGTGCATCGCTGAGCTTCACGGGCTCGGGCGGCGCGGGAGCGTGTAAAGCGGAGAGACATATCGCACTGGAGATTTTGTTAGCACACGACTCTGTGAACCAGATTCTTTGTACCCACCATTCTCGCTCCATTACGGAACTGCTCTCTGTCATCGCCTCATTCTCAGTATTACCAGAACGCTCTGCGTCTGGCTTGGCCGCTAGAGTCGACACTTCCGTGACCTCGTTCAACCGTTCCCTCGCCTCCGCACGTCGCAGCGCAGGTTTCTTCACCTTAGTGGCAGGTCTAGTTACAAGCGGTGTCTGCCGTCTTTTCCGCATGCAGAACACGCAAAGACTGATCATCGTCAGTCCATTCGTCCCAAGATCACAACGCAGGTACCAAGGACGATCAGAAAGCTTACAATGGTGCTGCCACAGCAAGGAAGAAGACAGGAATGAGGAACGCAAAGGCTGTTGGCGTCATCCCAGATTGGCCTACAGTATTACGCCATTCTCGCGCTTCGAGCGCCATCACATCGACATGAGCCGGCATCGCAGGCATAACTGCGTTTGTGGAGTTGGTCCGTGGAACGGAGTTTGGGGAGGGAAAATGGTTGTTACAGGATGTAACCGGGAGCGCCGGCACGATGTGATGTGCAGTTTCGCCTTACGGTATCGATCATCCAGTGCGCAGTCATGCGCATGTAGAGATACTGTAACAGCGATCAGTTTAAAAACGAGGAACGAAATTTTAGAGCCGCGTATACGCATGTTATAGCCACAATTCCAAGTGCCCGCCTCGGTCTTATCTGGAACTACTAACGTGAGTAGGACTTCCCCGCAAAGAAGTATGACCACCACAAACTGGACTGGATAGACCCGTCAGCCTCCACAGCCACGCTTTGTCATCTCTACCAACTTAACGGACTTAGCGGATGGAAGACAAACGTGGGTTGCACGCTGTTCACAAACGTAATCCAAATACATAGCGTGGTACATCAACCCAGAACACACTCCGCGCGTCCATTTGCTGACAGCGCTCACATCTCGGATGCGATTGGTTCCGGACTGAGCACAATCAAAACGTCTTTGCGTACCGGTATTCGATCTTTCGAGGGGCTTTGAGCCTTTTCCAATGCGCATCTCCACGCATGATAGTCGGATCCTATCCCAACACGCTCCAACCACCCCGCCATCCCATCTGGATCCGCTTATCTCTTAAACTCTCCGCACGCGACCTACATTGGCAGCCATCACACTATACCTATCAAGAGCCGCCGACAATGAGCTTACATAGTGAGGAAGGCTGGGCTGATGCAATGCATGAAGCTAGACAAAAGGCGCTAGTGCAAGGCCGAGAGTGTCGGCCTTGGTGCCGGCAAAACTGAATTTCTCGGCCTCGGCGGCAGTGGAGCGGAAATGCCTGGCACAGGCGGAGTGGGCCGATCATCGTTGGCACTGGCTGGAGGTGGGATGGCCTTAGGTGACCTTAGGCTTTGGAAACCAAGTCTGGAGTGCGAATGGGAGGCATAAGTTTATCAAACGATCTCTCTGCTGTTGCGAACTAATTGTAGCCCTTAAAGGAAGCCATGAAAGCAATGCGCAGTTCGTAAGGTCAATGGCCTTGTGTGCCTGTCAAGATCGTGCAACAATGCAATTGAACGAAGTATGCATTCAGAGGTATCTTATTACTACCAGAGAGGTATCTAACAACTAGGAAAGCTTCCGACTTCATAAGAAGCAGCCTTTAAGGCAAATAGGTATCGCAAGCCATGCAACGCAAAACTCCCGTTCGAACCAAGACACATTTCCTGCCATGGCCTTGTTCCTCAATCTGGAACTACAAACTATACTATCATGACGTGCCTGCTGGCACGAGAAAACGCATCATTCGTGGAATCATCTCTTCTCATCACTGTCGCCATCAGTGCTGATAGCTGTGCTAAGGTATCGCTCAAACACCTTCTGTTCCAGGTCAATCGAGCCTCGTCGACCGCCGGTTTTGGCCTCACGCCTCCTGAAGAAGACACGCTTGCCCCACTTCCAGGTCTCGATACCGAGGAAGAAGAGGAAGGTAGCGACGAAGACGATGCCCCACTCCCAACTGATACCTTTGTGCCTGAACACTCTGTCGTTAATGACGGGAATGTACAGAACGGGGAAAATCGTGATGAATCCGAACATGATCGAGAAGAACAAAAACTTGTTGCGCCACACATCGATGGCCCACTGGGTGAGGTACTTCTTGGAGTGTGGCTGCATCGCGAAGAATGAGCGGCGCATGTCCAACATCTGCCACGCAAGGAAGAGCGAGAACCAAGTGAGGCAAGCAAAAGTTGTGGCACGGGCGCGGAAAACAGTCTCACACGTTGGGTTGAAAGATTCGTTGCAACTTATCCCGAGGTTGCCGTCGCCAAATCCAAACATGACGAGGGAGAAGGCTCCCAGACAAAGGGCAGCGATCCAGAGACCGTAGACAAGCATATCGACCATAACTTCGATAGTAAAGACACCACGTTTGAGCTGGGAAGTGTTAGTACACATTTCTCTGCAGCATCGATATATCTGAGACTTACATTTTGGGGAGGTCGGGACAAGATATCTGGAGCTGCGATCTCGAAACCGAGACCCATGTCAGGTAGACTGGAGGTGACCATAATAATCCACATGACTTCGACAGGTGAGACAGGGAACACGGAGAAGCCACTCTCATCCTTGAACGCAAGACCAATGAGCAAGACACAAGCTTGGGCGATGTTCTGAGCGAGCAAGTGAAGAATGAACTTCTGGATGTTGTCGAACATGCGGCGACCCTCTTCAATGGCGTTGAGAATGGAGGCGAAGTTGTCATCAGTCAATACGATATCAGAAGCATCTTTGGCGACATCAGATCCAGTACCCATACCAATCCCAACATCGGAGCGCTTGAGAGACGGAGAGTCGTTGACACCATCACCAGTCATGGCGGCAAAAGCCTTGCGTCGGTGCAGAGCGTCGATCATGCGGACCTTGGTGTTAGGCGCGCAACGAGCAATGACCAATGGAAGTAACGGAAGCGCATCCACTTGTTCGTCGGTGAGCTTGTCAAATTGGGTAGCGGTCATGACCATTGCGTCTGTGACTTCCTTGGCGAGAGTAGCCATGTTTGATGGTAGGATACCAACTTCAGCAGCGATAGCGCGAGCAGTTCCGGGGTGATCACCTGTAAGCATATGGACTTCAATACCAGCCTTCTGGCACTGGCGAACGGATCCAGCAGTCTCAGGTCTCGGAGGGTCGTAAAGACCTACCAGACCGCGGAAGATCAGGTTCTCCTCAATAGCCTTCCTGTCGATTTCCTCGCCCTTGGTGATTGCAGGACCGTCGTAATCTTTGCTGGCAAGCGCGAGGACACGGAGACCAAGTGAAGCGAGGGACTCCATGTTGGCCAATATTTCCTCGCGGTAGTCGTCATCGAGCTCGACAGGACCTTCCTCCTCGCCGTTGAAGACGTGTGTGCATGAGTAGATAACTCGCTCGACGGCACCCTTGGTCATGACGTATCTCTTGGAGCTGGCCGTTTCTTCAAAGATGACAGACATTTTCTTGACGTCAGAATCGAAGGGAAACTCAGCAAGCTGTTTCCAGGCAGGTTTGTCACCGGTAGTGTATTCAAGACGGTTCCACTTGAAGCGAGAAGCGAAGACCTGGATCGCAATCTCAGTTGGGTCACCACGAGCATTCCATACACCTTCGCTAGTCTGATGAACATTGGCCAAATTAGCCAGGGAGGCGACCTTGAGATATTCAACCAGGTGTGGATTGTCGGCCAAAAGCTCTTCATAAGTCTCCGTTTTCTCGTCGATGTCGGGATCAATGTGTCGTGGGTGTTTAGGGTTGAACGATAGAGAACCAAGTGTGGGATTGTGAGGCTCGTCGGAGGTGCCAACAGAATAAGTGCCCTTCGCAGGGATCCAGGCCTTCTTCGCAACCATCTTACCCTGAGTCAGGGTACCAGTCTTGTCGGAACAAATGTCGGTGACACCGCCAAGAGCTTCTAGAGACTTCAGGTTGCGGACAATAACATGTCGCTGCACCATGCGCTTAGTACCGGCGGCCATTGTGATCGTCAAGACGACAGTAAGCGAAGCGGGAATCATACTAAGACCAGTGGCCACAGCATAGATGATGACTTCCTTGTTGTTGGAAAAGCTGTTGGCAGCCAATACGATGATGGCGCAGACGACAGCGACACCAAAGAGGAGGATAGCGAGACGAGCGAGTTTCTTCTGAAGAGGAGTACCAACATTAACACCGAGGAAGTGACCAACAGCATCACCAACGGTCAAAGTCCAAGCTTGAGCATATCGGTGGGGCTTCGCCTTACCATCAGGCTTGCGCTTGACCTCGCGAACGCGGGAGCCCTTCTGGCGCAGAGACATGGCAATGGAACCAATCTCAGTGTACATTCCAGTAGCAAAGACGACACCACGCGCGCGGCCCTTTGTGACTGTAGAGGAGCTGTATGCAACGTTGAGGCGGTCGCCAGGGCCAGTCTCCTCGTCGAAGACGGCATCACCATCTTTTGAGACAGGAAGCGATTCACCGGTAAGGAGGGCTTCGTCAGTTTCGAAGTTTACTGCTTCAATAATTCTGCGAAGTAAGTCAGCGGGGTATTGCAATGCGCGTACAGAGGAACTGACCTGACGTCAGCTGGAACAGTGTCACCTGTCTTCATTTCAACCAAATCACCAGGTACTACTTCTATTGTAGGTACAGTTACGGTCTTTCCATCTCGAACAGCAGATGCGGTCGGCGAAGAGAGAGATCGAAGAGAGTCCATTGTCTTTTCAGCATTGAACTCCTGCACAAAACCAATGACGACATTCAGGATGATGATGGCAGTTACTACACCACCCTCAATCCAAGACTGAATAGCAAAACTGACGGCCATGGCAGCGATGAGAATCTGAAAGTGACGAGTTAGAAGGATTCCTGATCTCGGGTACTCGGCATGCATACCAGAGTCATGGCATTTGCAACTTGACGCAGCAAAATCTTTGGTGCAGACACGCCACCATCTTCACCAAGATCATTGTTGCCGTGTTTTTCGAGTCGTGCCTTCGCCTCGGATGTGGTCAACCCATCATCAGGATTACACTTGCACTCCTCGATGACTTGCTGGAAGGTGAGGGCATGGGCGGGCTTGGAGAGAGGGTCGTTGCCCTGGCCCGACTTGTGGCCTTCGAGTGAAGGCTGCTTCTTACCCATAGCGATTGGTTTCGATGGCTAGGAGGAAGTTGGCTGGAGACAAGCCGTCTAGATTCGGGGGACTTGATCGCTTTAAACCCCATGGCTGAGAACTCCGGTGGCACAGACACAATAGCCAGCCAAGAACCGAGATAGCAAGCTGCTTGGCGCAGTAAGAACCATCTCAGGATGTGTGGTTCAACGACTAAGAGCAGACGGCAGACGTCACATCCTGCCCAAGACTGGTCGAAGTGATGCGTATGATATGCGGTACCAGCGATCTTCTCCACCTGCTGCGTTCGCTCATCCATACACCATGAGGACACTGTATAGTGCAGACATCTGGATGCACATTGTCGACAATCTCTCCATCGGTTCGGTCTTTGCAATGACGACAGCGGGGTAGGAGGTGAACGGAAACGGCGAATTGGTGGTGGCGTAGGAAGCAGGCGACCAAGCTTCTCCGCTCCGCCCAAGCCGCTAATCCCCGCTACTCTCTCGGCGGCAAGACTTGTATGCCGACTAGCCGACAAAGTTCCACCACGCTGCCCAAGGCGAGAGACTTCAACGTCATAACCTTCCACGACGCCGTTGTGAAGCTTGCCAATGGCATTCCTCCATCAACCTCATCGCACTCCGATCTGGCTTTTGCCTTCTGGCTGCAAGGCGAGGCTGTTGCTGCCACTGTCCATGCACCTCGCGCGTCACTGGTCCAGCTCCAACGGCAAAGCTTGTCATCAACCCGTTTTCTCTACCAAGGGCCGCTAGAGAAGTTTCGGTGTCAGCCTTCTCAGTCTGCTTATCTGCAATCGATCCTTGACGCTGTCGCCAAGCCCGTGGACACTTGGTCACGACACTCAACAATCACTCTGAGCCGTGCGGACAAGGCCACCGGTCGCTTCTACGCTCCACCTCTGGGGTCGGCCGGATCCACTCATCGAATGAGTGGGACCTTCTGGCGGCTTTCTTGCGGCTCCTTGGTCTGCATCACTGTACTTTCAGACCAGCAGCCCTGGTGTTGAGGCTGTATTGTACTCTAGCACACACGTTTTGTGACTTGACGGGCAATTACATAGTACCTCCGTGGCTATCGTCGGCCTTTACCCTTTGCTAGCGTGCGATCTGCTCTCAGAGCACTTGGAAATCGGACCTAGACAGGCTGCGATTGACAGCCCCTTAGTCACTCTCAGCTTCCTAAGAATAGGCGCAATTCTCTCCGCAGGTTGCATGACATGTTGCGAGTACACTTGCATGGATCTCCATGGCTTTTGATATTGTTCGCCCTTCGGGGCCCTTCGGGACCGATGCAAAGCACTAGCTTTCAAACAATGCACATCGAGACCCGACGGAATGCTTCTCTGCATCGCGATAAAGGAAACTGATGTGCTGTTGTAGCTCGCACGCATATTCGTTTCATATGGCACAATTAGAGATTCAGAAGAACAAGATCTATATTCTACAACATCCTATAAACACCGAGACGAAAGAATCCTAAATCTAAGCAAATAGAACTAGAGCCGGCCTTTGCCGGGATAGAGTGGGTGATATTCCCACCACCAACCTCCAAGATGGCAAACCATTGGGCAGCCATACCTTGATATTCACACCATTATGATCACAAATGCCCCAGTCTAGTTTCGCAAAAGAGGGAAATCGTCAAGGCTGAGACATGAGAACAGATATTCGCCATTTGGGCCAATCTCGAGTTGCTTGTTGTCCTCAGGGAACCAAAGCTTGAGCATTGGGGTATATTGATTCTCCCGCTGTGCAAGAAAGCCACTTGTCGAAGCATCGATAAGCGTCATGCGCACCGCGAAAGCTCCAAATTCAGTCTTGAAATCAGGCCCAGAGAGCTGAACCGATGCGGATCCGTCCAATTGTCGCGAATAAAGACCTTCTGGGCCTTTCACGATCGTCAAACGACCAAAGAAGTCAAACCGATTAATCTATTGACTAAACTGGCGAAATTTCCATCTGAATCAGCTCGGACAAGTGGCATTTCTTCAGATAAGGAATGCTGCCCAGAATGTCGACGACCTTGAGCCAAGATACAGCTCTGGGGTTGACGTCCCGATACCATAGATCGTATAACATGCCCTCGACTTCGCGTTTCAAGATGACATAATTGCATATGATGGTTTCAAGAAGGCCCGCATTCTGTACAATAAAGTTGTGAAAGCCGATACCCGGAGCACGCACGTTCTTCAAAGTTATATTGCGAAGGCTGTCGAAGTTCAGTCTGAAGAAGGGCCAGTTAGGCTCCACTTTGTTCATATGCAACGACTCCAACTTTGAACAGCCAGACAGGAACGATACTACCCAGTTTTGATTGGGAACATTCTGTCGGTCGGCTGGGTTGATGCTCAGCGCTCGTGCCAGGCTAACTGTGCGCACGTGGTCACGAATAGCAAGCCAATGTTGTCCATTGACATCAAAAGGCTTTGACAAACGCTCACCACCGATGGTATGCAAGCTCATATCCAAATCCACCACTTATCCTTGATGGCGGCTAAACCTTTGAACACCAATTCATAGTGGCTGTGCAACTCGTTGGACCTGGACCGATTAGCCAAGGCATCGCGGGGACCTGGCCACCCATATATATCCTAGTAGATATACTGAGAGGTGTAGCCAATTTCCTGCAGCAGCGAGCTTGCACCCCAGCCCACGGTCCATTCGGTGATTGTGGCATCGTTGTATGTCCCAACTGGATCGAGAGGGTAGCTGTCAAGACGAACACGCTCCAAGTTGGGAAACTTGACAAAAGCTTCCGAAAGCATACGGGACATGTCACCGCTAGTGACAAATTCCTGTTGCTCTTTGACAAGCTTATCGTATACAGGCTTGAAGCACTCGAGCCAGTGCTCCTTGACTTTTTCATCCATGTCCTCCAGGAGAGCTTCGAAGTTTGGATTCAACCGCTCAGGACCAATGGCTATCTCACGCACGTACGGGCTGGCGTATTCGTCGTTGCCAATTTCCAACATATACTGTATACTCGCTCGTGAAAGCATGAACTTGTGGGTGGTGTGAGCGCGTTTGGCGATATTTTGAAATGTAGCCTGTTGCATGCGGCGGCTGGCAAGGCGCAGATTCCCAAGGTCCGTTTTGCTGAGGTTATGGCCTTGTGAATCTTGGGCATCTGTAATGAGGCCAATGAGTTCCGTGGGCAGCGTTTCCAGGAAGGAGAGTGTGCGTGGTGTGGGCGTCGTCATCTTTGTTGTTATGCTTTTAACTTGTGGTCTGAGAAGTTGTGGTGTGTATGTCTTATGGTTGAGTGATTTGGTTACGTGATTGCATGAGGCGCTTATAGGGACCGATGGTACAGACCGTTATATATCAAGACTGACTGGCATTGCAGTGTAACGGATCTACCTGTAGATCCACGCTTTCACCATTTCACGCATCCGAGCGGCACTGTTAGTGAATGTATATGAACAATGTACCAGCATGATTGCTATACAATGCCACTTTTACGCGTTCACTAGAAACGTTGCTATTCTGCGTGACCCCACTGCTCTATTTGTACTCTACTTCGTTATCATCTATACATGTTTGCTACTAGAGACAGTATCAGCATGACGTCTGGCTACCATCGATGACGACTACCGAGAAACCTGTTTGAGGTTCTAGGTCATCACATACCGTGCGCACCGTATTGTGAGACCTCAATATCTATCGTGTTTCTCCTGTATGCGTGGGTGATTAGATACGCCGTGACTGTCATCATGCACATCTCATGGTTGAGGATGTCACACATCCCTCCGCTGACCTCCAACCGGACTGAATATGTGAAAATGATGATTCACTCTTGGATGATTCTGTAGAGTCTAGCATGATAAGTGGACAAGTTAATATTCGTGATGCCCTATTCGCCCCATACGTTAAACTCACATAGGTAGTAAGATGGTATCTACTGTAATGCAATACCAGCTTCGAAATGCGAATTTTAGTCTTCACCAACCAGTCCATTCAGCCCACTCAGTCGCCTCGCCAAACGTGAATCACCCGAGCGTCAAAAAGCCAGATTTGCAAGCTTTGAAAACACCGGTCTCTATGAAGCAAATTTGGTACAGCGTGATGGGAATCTCCCTTGTAAATTTGCCAGGAAACATTTCTCCGTGCCGATACTCATCAGGCGTACCGGCGCGTTGGTTTCCAACATTGTTCTGAGAAGAAGCAGTCCACTTGGTTTGTTGGTTTGAATCACCATACCATCGATGTGATGCTCTGCAGTGAAAACAGCGCGTTCTCGTCGAGCTAATATCTTCCTATCGCTTCGTTGAGGTAGAAATTTGACTCAGCATCGATGACGAACTAGTTGCAAATTTCACAAATTGAAAGAGGCCAGTCGTTGTTTAACCGTTTTTTTTTTCAGTAGCGGCCAAAGACTGGTACATCGTGGGCTACGACCAGGCCCTTGGAACTCGTGGACTCATCTTCAAAACTTGAAAACAAAGTCAGGGTATGCTATCAGATAGGAGATATGACTACTATCCCAGGGATCTCGGGGGCTATCGTGCTGCTCGGTTTGGAGTCGTGTTTGAAGGGAAAAGGCGCATAGAGCTTACAGCTCCGAGGGAGACTCACGGGTGGGGATTTCTGAGGTACAAAAGCCTGTGGGTTTGGATATTAGAGATTCTGAACCCATGTTAGAGCCCCGTGATTGTATGTCCATGGCCACGGAGACGTGTTCTTATGCAAGTGAAAGTGGTTCGTAGTCGTGATGATGGCCTTCCCTTGACGAGTTCCTGGCGACTACCGAAAGCACCAGCGTGTCGACAGATTCGACCTGGCCGTACAATATGATCTTCATGCACGGCTAGTTTTCCAGCCCAGGAAGAGATATGTTCAGATGAAATGTCCATTCTCTAGTTTGATCAGACTGGGTTGGTGTCTGGTCACGATTGCCCGCCATTTGCTTGCTGAGGAACCAGGGTCCAAGGCGATGCAATTAGCAGTGCGGCTCTAACAAGGGCGGTTAAGAGAACATGTAGGTAGTCATCATACGTGATCAGCAGGTTTGCCGATCATTTAGTAATAAAGTCTATAATTAGGAAATTTACCGTAAGTTCCTCCATATAAGACACCTAACACAGTAGATATGTACCCCCCACTACTTAAAACAACTTCGGGCCGTACCGACAAATCGAGTAATTTGGCAATGCTCAATAGTGTCTCCATGTCATCAACATCGGCCGTCATCGCTTTTCCACTCCTTTCCCCAAAAGTCCCCCGTCCTATCAACAGTTCAAGGCCCTGTTTTAGCTGAGCCACTTTTTTTCCACCCACTGCAGACCCTGCTTCAACCACGCCTCCTTATTCTCCTTCACTGAAATATCAAAGCCATGCTCCTGGCCAGGTCTCACTACAAGCTGCACCTCTACTCTGTCTAGCCTCCTCGCTTTCTCTACAAACGCTTTGCTATCTTCGATGCTCACGGCTGTATCAGCATCGCCGTGAACGATCCAGGTTGGTGGAAGGTAATCCTTCTTCTCTATCAGGTAAAGTGGCCACATGTCCTTTTCATTGCCGAAGAACTCCAGGTACCGACCGTATACAGAGAGAGCGTACGAGATGTTCATACGCGCGGGTGGGGTTGCTGATGAGAGCACTACATCTGGCGTGATGCTAGATATGTGTTCATCCACAAGGGTGGGTGGTGGAGATGGCTGACCGTAAAGTTCGTCCATGGGCTTGCGTCTCAAGGAGTCTGTCATTGGGTATTGCGCCAACAATGCTTTGATACTACCTTTTGGCTGGGTCAAGCCGCTCATCAGCGTCATGTAACCGCCCGCAGAGTCTCCAGACACCAGTACATGGTTGTAGTCGAGCTCGGCAGTTATGCCCTGGGACTTGAGAAACAAGGGGAATGCGTCAGAGTGGAACCATGCCCAGAAGTTGTCAAGGTCAGAAAGGATGTCGGCACCCGTATGCTCGGGAATAAGCCGGTAGTTTGGCAACACGGTGATGCAATTTGTGCGGTGGATGAAAGGAACAAAGAATGCACCGATCCAGTCAGGGTAGAGACAGTCGCCGGTGACCTGAGACAGTAAGCTCCAGATGTCTACTCTAGTAGGGGACACGAACGTACTAGACCACCACCATGGAACTTGACGAGTAAGGGATGGCTGCCAGGCTTCAGATCTTTGGGGACCAAGATACCAACGTCAATGGCGTGTGGACCAATATTTTTATACGAAGTGCGATACACATGAAAGCTATCAAAGCGGTTTGTAGGATTTGTGTCGTCCATGGTGTTGTGCGTGTAAACAATAGTAGCAGTTCGATTTTGAAGATTTTAGTTTTGCTGTAGTACGGTATGAGTGAGGGTTCAATGGCCAATACCAACTTGTGAGATCAGTGTAGATTGTAGGATTGTAGAGCACCATGCATCTCTTCGAGGTTTGCAAGGTGACTTGGGCTCTCTAGTCGATAGTGATACTCGAAGGTTGAGATGTGGGGTAGGTAAGTTGTAAGCGAGCTACTGAAGTGCGCTTGCTCTGTTTGTCAGCTGACGGCTCTCTCACTCCATTCACCAAGTTCTGTATTGCTAGTGAAGTCGCACGATGATGAGAAATCTACCATATCGTCGTCTTCTGCTTCTGCTTCTTCTTCTTGGGTATTTCAAACCATGAGCAGTATTCATGACTGTTGATCTTCGCAGATGTTACCCGTGCACTATGGTTCGTGGAGTTGATGGTAGATGCTTGGCGTAACCGTATGTACCTATGCGAAACATCCATGGATGAGTCGTTACTTGCTGAATTTGACGACAAAGTAAACAAAGGGCGGACATGCACGTCCCAGTACAATCAACTGGGCTGCTACATCTTACACCGAGACGGAGTGGAATCGAGTGCTACGAAACTGTAGCGAGCCTATGATCAAAGCCTCGGAGATCTTGTTCCAGTCCACTGTCAAATGCAAGGGACGTTGCGAGGAGGCGAGGCGAGGCAGTCCCATTTGCAAACCTTGATCGTATCATGATCGGCCAGCTGCTAGTACTCCATGACCGTGGTGCAATAGTTGATGTTGTGTACGGTAGCATCTGGTCAAGAGAGGCTGATATCGTTCCTCCTGAACTGGAGACATGACATGAGGTGGTGATTGGACGCGCGTTGCAAGACTCGGACAGGATGCCATGGTACGACGCAAACAAAGGAGAAGCAGACAGGGAGTTCCAGCTCAACTATAACGCTGACAATCTCTCTTCCATGCGCCGTATTGGGACGTCGCGGCCAGGTACACTAGCTAGTTAGAGGACTTGGGACTTGGGACTTGGAAGCCCATGGGACGTGTGGAACCACGCTCGCTGTCATATCAGACTCGAATGACTGGCGAGTGAAGCATTGAATAACGAATGGAGGACCTGCAGGTCTTGTCCAGGAATGGTGGTGTTTGAGGCTAACGATCAATAATGAAGAAGATGAGACAGTGTGCCGGGTATATACGTAGTGAATGTAGTGTAGGTGACGTTTCTCAAGGACAGGCGCAGGCGGGTCAAGTGAGCAGGCGTCACCCCAAGCGCGTTCTTGGGGCAATTTCGAGAGCCTGGAGCCACGACCCTCGCGACCCCGAGCCGATAAGCAACGCCCCTTTTCCCTCCCCCCGCCCAAGGCACGCTGTAAGCAGTTGCTAGCCAGGGCCCACGGCGATTTTATAGTTTCGATAGTACCGAGTGGTCGCATGGCTTTTTCCTTTTTGTTCTTCAATGGCACCCTTTGGTATTGGAATCGTTTGCCATTGAACGACCTGGCCTGTTTCTAACACGTGCACCGGCTCATTCCCCCAGGCACCACTCGCGCCCGCCTACCCCTACGCCTACTACGCCTACTACGCCTACTACGCCTACTACGCCTACTACGCCTACTACGCCTACTACGCCTACTACGCCTGCGCCTACCCCTACGCCTCCCGCGCAATCGCAGCCCAGACTGACGAACCGCCCGCCTGCCTCCTTTCATCTCGCTTTTGCAGCCGCTATTTTCTGCCCAGCTAGCTGTGTCTACGGTCCGATCTCATGAACAGAGGAGCCCGCGCCTCACGCCACCATGATCGAGGAGCCTGAGCCATGCTCCGGCGGCACGGTGGCCGTGGAGATGGACGTGGTGGTGGAGACAGCCGAGGCTGTGGAAGAGTCGTCACAGCTGTCGCCATCGCCCTCGAACGCGACAGTTCCGCTGCCAAAGAGCCCCGCAGCGCGCTCATGGCTCAGCAGTGTCCGCCGCCCACGAACCTCGCCAGGGCCCAAGACGACGTCTGCCTTCAAGCGGGCGCTGCTGCTGGGGGACGGCGATGATCGCAGGGACTCTGCCTTGGCCTCGTCCAGCTGCACCGCCACCGACCATGACAAGTCACCGCCCATCAGCCTCCGCAGGACCCCAAGCCTGCCTGCCATTGTGGTCCAAGATGCGCCTTCACTGCTCTCGCAGTCACAGAGGAGCCGCAGAAGCCATGCCTCGCAGCACCTGCATGATGTCGATGACGACAACGACGACGAGAACTTTGCTGGCATCGACACGATCATCCCCACAGGCAGCCTCGACGACCTCACCTCAGACACGCAAATCTCCTTCTCCAAGCGGGGCAGCATCATGCTGGGCGGTAAGAAGGCCAACAGACGGAGCAAGCACGTCGACCTGCGTGTGGAAGGAGCATCCTCGCCATGCACTCCAGTGACCCCACCACGACAACCCGAGCAGGCGCAGCCCAGCACCCAGCAGGAACGCACGCCGTCCTCTGCCCATTATCTATCCCCGCGATCGCTGTCACGATACTCGACACGGGGCCGGTCGGCCAGCCACCGTGTACTGTCTACGGATGAGATGGCGCTGTCGCGGAAGGTGCGCATCATGTACGAGCATGGGAATGAGAGTGCTGTCAATTGGGATGCACCAGATGGGGATTCCAACAGCACGCGGGACAGTGTGGCCGACAACAGCAGTGTGGCGGACACGACAGTCATGACATCGGCTCTGACCGTAGATGCGAACAACGAGGACACGAGCTCCGTCTACAGCTCCAGGCATGCCAGTCTCATCTCCAAGGAACCCACCGAAGCAGCTGGCGGGCTCGAGGACTGGGCTGACCTCGAAGGGGGAGAGGTCGATCGCTATGGCTTCATCATACCAAGTAAGACGCGGCGCACGAATGGAGTGTCTGGGGATGGCTTGGAAGGACCAGACGTGCCGCGAATGCAGCGTGTGAGCACGACACTGCAACTGGTGGCCAAAGAGCCCAGACGCACAACCTTTGGCCGCAGCCCATCGAGAGCGCGCTCCAATGACCCACACTCACCATCACCCAGACGGCGCGCCTCGCTCAAATCCCTCAAGCAGGCCAAGTCCTCCATCTTCTCGAACCAGACCTCGGCCACTCGCAGCACGCGCAGGCCATTGCGACATGCCACCAACATCCTACCCCACAACAGAGACCGTCGTCTGAGAGATGAGGCGAGCAACATGCTCAAACTTCCGCCTGGCCTGGCTGAAGTCGCAGAGCAGCAGGAAGGAGGCAAGACTGCCCAGGCAATGAAGGCAAAGGAGATTCAGCGAAACGAAAAGTGGCGGAAAATGGCAAAGGTGGTCAAGGCAGGCGCGGACCAGGGAGGCATGCTATTTGAGTTCGATACCAAAGACCCGAAACTGATCTCTCGCACGTGGAAAGGAATTCCTGACCGATGGAGGGCCACCGCATGGTACTCGTTTCTCGCAGCCAGTGCGAAAGCAGACGAGAACAGCCCGACCGAGGAAGATTTGATCACGAGCTTCTACGAGCTACAGGCGGAGAGTTCGGCAGAAGATGTACAAATCGATGTGGATGTGCCGCGAACAATCAACAGACACATCATGTTCAGGCGCCGATATCGTGGAGGGTATGTACTGCGGGCACCAATACGCCAAACAAAGCTAACAAACAATAGACAGCGGTTGTTATTCCGAGTACTCCATGCCATGTCTCTCTACTTGCCCGATACAGGCTACGTGCAGGGCATGGCAGCACTTGCAGCCACCCTGCTTTGCTACTATGAAGAGGACCGCGCATTCGTTATGCTGGTTCGTCTATGGATGCTCCGAGGCCTGGAGAGACTTTACGAAGCTGGCTTTTCAGGACTCATGGAAGCTCTGGATGACTTTGAACAGAATTGGCTGTGCGGAGGGGATGTGGCCAAAAAGTTGGTAAGTTAAAACCAGCCGTGGCAAGCGCGCAAGGTGCTATCCCTGCCTGCATAGTATCCTATACTAACAACGATGCAGGAGGAGATGAGCATCACCTCAACTGCCTATGGGACCAGATGGTATTTGACACTGTTCAACTACTCTCTCCCGTTCCCGGCTCAGCTACGCGTTTGGGACGTGTTCATGTTGTTGGGAGATAAGTCATATTCGAATTCGCCAACCTCCAACTTCAGTGGAGACCTAGACGTACTGCATGCCACTTCCGCCGCCCTAATCGACGCCACAAGGGAGATCCTACTTGATTCGGACTTTGAGAATGCCATGAAGGTGTTGACATCCTGGATTCCAATCAAGGACGAAGAACTGTTGATGCGCGTGGCGAAGGCCGAATATAGGATGAGGAAGAAGCGAGCCAATGCGTGATGTACATTGATACCCCGATGAACCTGGCATTCACCGAAGGGGCGGAAGCGCGATCGGGATAGGATCGAGTTGGGATAGGGAGCCGACACCTACCATGTCACCACGATGCAATCTTGCAAGCGACCTTCCCATGCCTATTCGAGAAAAGTTTAACGGTGCCCGCCGATCAATTAAGATCAGTGGCTTGACGGCGTCGCGTGCACCCAACGTGGTTAACACGTTTCGACCTTGCACAGTTCCAACGATTTTGCTTACCTTTTCGGACGACAGCACTTATCTTCTTCAGGCACATACAGTGCTACACATTATCCCGACCTTGCGTTTTGGTGGTGCAATACCTCCACTTACAACAACAACAACAATAACAACAACTACCATATACTTCGGTGTCGAAAAGTCTGCTTACTCGCGTTTTGCACAGGTACTTTGGGGGCAGCAAATCCCACGCTAGATTTCCACGACACGGTCATGTTTCTGATGCAGCTTTTTTCTTTTCTTCTACTTTGATATATTTTGCTTGATGATATGGGCGCAGTGTGCGCATGGTTTTTGACGGCTGGCTTTTACTCATCAAAGATACCACTGCTTTTCCTCTTTTTTAATCAATGTTTTATGCATTTTCATCATATCTAGTCACTTTTTGGCCTTTAATCCATGCTTTTTATGCATTTCATATTGGCCTTCTCGTTGCGGCCTTTGTTTCTTGCCGACACAGAGAGAGCATTACGTACGTTTAGCATGTTATACACGTAGACGTTAGCTCGGTCGAATAAGACTATAGAGTAGGAATAATAACTAATCATTTGAAATGGGAGATGGCATTTGTCCTCCTTGCGAGAATCACATGGGGTGGTGAGACTTCAGAAGGTAGGCCTGCTACAAGTGATGCAAGGCGTTGGGCTGAAATATAAAGGTTGCGAAGTGACATCCGTCCATCCGTCCATCTGATGGGGTGTTTTTGGTTTGTTCTGAGTGTAGATCTTGGCCTGGAGTGAATGGGCCATGTGGATGGGAAGACGGTCGGTAGGACCAGGGTAGGTTAGGTAAACGTGTAGATGGTGGATGTCAAAGCCCCATGGGCTTGCAGTATTGGCATCAGAATCACAAGCACAAGCGCACAATTGCAGCCACAAGAGTAAGTTTTCTTATTGCAGGGACGCAGGGCTCGCGTGGTAATTAGGCATGGATTACCATAGTGTGCGTGTATGTGTGTGTGGTCTGTATGGCTAAGTGGCTGACTTTCGAAATGAGTGTTCGTGGGAAAGGCTTGGAGGGAGTCTTGGGGCGCAAGCTAGCCGCAGATGGAGGTGGAGTATTCTTGGAAAGCGCAAAGTCTGCATGGATACGTTGATGTTGTGTTGGGTATTGTGAATACGCAGATATGAAATTGTTACAGAAAGAAAGATACCACGGATCAAATGTGTATGGTATATCGACCTATAACTAGGCGCATCCGAGTCATACTTCGGTTCTTCACAACTTCGAGCCATGTTGATGAAGATGGAGACTGGTGATCTTGGTCACACAATGATACCGTACCGTTCAGGCGCAATAGGTACAATAGATACAATAATGACCAGAAATGCATACAAACCTGTGAAGAAGCACTGCAAGGATGGCCCATATCTTTGATTGAATATTCGAACTGCCGGTCGAGGGAATGTGTCGCTTCCCAAAAAGGCAGTTGTGATTGCCGATTGTGGTGGCAACGTCTCGCTACATCCTGCCTACCTTACACATTTTTCGCCTCCGCCCACTACGCGTACAATCGTCGCCTCTTCACCTCCCGCCTTTTTTGACTGGATCCTGATACCTACACGACGGCTTCTAGACCGATTGAGAGGCCCACTCGGCTACCCCGAAGGCCAGCGTTTGATGTGTCCCTGACCCTGGCGCCGTTCCAGCAGCCATCAAGATTCAAGAGTAGTTTTTCACGCTGATCATGGTTCGATTCTTCCGCCACGATGCGAAGATCTGCATGACTTGCTTCTGGATGAGAGAGGTGCACAACGTCCAGACTGAGATCGGTACGCCACTCGCGACCGTGGTGCGCGAAGAGGAAGCGGTTGCGAGGAACGATGTGTAAGTGCAGCCGAAAACTTTCTCTGTAGCTTCAATACTAGCCGATAGGTTCAACCTATTGAGTGGAAGTATCCTTAACCGTCACATATCAAAGTGGACTATTGAGACCGTTAGTTGGCTGTAGTTTACCAATCGACACACTAGATCTACGGCTAGATCAGCGGATCGAGACAACTCCACATTCATCCTTGCTGCTGTCTCCGGGACTCCACGCTTGTCTGCTGGTGGATTGACGTTCCACGGCTCGTCTTTCCACTTCACAGGCCGGATACAGCTGCATTGGGAAAAGAAGCCCCGAATCTAATGGTCCTACAGTGCCATTTTACCGTTGAACAGAATCGTGTGGAGACTTTGCTTCACTCCTGCCTGAGCAATAGCTTACTACGTAGACATGAAATCGACGTCAACACACACACACACACACACACACACACACACGTCTCTAAATGGATGCGTTGTTGATTTCCGAACTCTTTGTGGGGACAAGGCACTCGTAGGAAGCTTCATTAGAAGAACAGGCACTGGCCCTGCTACGTTGTCTATTTTCTCTTTCCTCTACATGGAAACCTCGAACGGACTCGGCGTCAGACTTCACCAAGGGCAAGGGGTTGTACAAGAAAGCACTCCTAAAAGTCAGTCGGGTCCTTCCCGCGCTGTTTCCCACCAGAACCACGTTGCTTTAAGTTGCACAGTTACAAAGTTGCAGAACCTGTAGCCTAAACCAGGCAGCGCATGCAGCCACGTGTACTCAAAGCAGTAGTTCTGCACCCAGTTGGGCTTATACGATGTTTGGCTAAGGAGATCCCATTGCCCTGGTCTGACACCGGAACTTCCCAAACTCGACCGTGAGAACGGTCGGCGCCCGCAGTTCTCGAGCTGTTGTGTCTCAATCTTGAGCGATACATTACTTACTTCTGCACTCTACTGCTGATTGGCTGGTATGTGCAGGATTCCGACCAAATCTCGCTCGAAGGCGCTTCACACAGATCCGGTCCGCCTCGAGTTTCACGTAGATCCGCCGCATGGTCAAAAACGGAAAAGCCCAAACGCCGACACGGAAATTTAGGTGACTAGTCGATCGTTCGGTCGGTGCCAGGCGCCTGGCGATTGCGCAACACGTCTGCTCAACGCTCCTTTCATAACAGTGGCATGCAAGTGCCATTTGTTGTGCTTATTAGGTGCAGTGGTGGGAACACACCATACACTGTCATGCCGATGTGCGCTAACTACATAGACTACGGCACGAAAAGAAGCGCACATGCAAAGTCCAGCAAATGGATTGTTCCTCCGCGCTTCTCCAACCCTAGTCGTGACGCACTACGAAACTGGGTGTCTGTTCTGTTCAACGCTTGTCGGTCTTATCGATTGGCCATGCAGACTGTCACGCTATGTCGATCTGGAGGGGTGTAGGCGGAGCAAGGCTCCCTGCTCCGTGACACCTCCAGACTCCGTGCTTCTGATTAAGCAAGCCTACCCGTTACGCTATGACGGCATCTGAGTTTCCTGTTCTGGGTACCACACTAAATTCGGGAACTGGGCCTTCAATGGACCGTAATGCAGTATTTCCCACCAGTTCCAAGGTTTCGTGTTGACGCACAGCGGCTCTTCCAACACGTATGGCTCATTTCACATTACCCCATTGAGTAATCAGCTGGCTGAGGTCTTATGAAAGCCATCACCCTTCATTTCCTTGTCATGCGACATGAACAGGCCAGGAGGAACCAGGTCCGCGCCCGTGAACCGAGCGTTTAATCTCTCCCAGATGTCGCGCTCGCTTGCTCCCGGACGTTGACCCTGTTGGTTGGTGCTAGTGCACGGCTTGCATTGCCAGGCCACGCCGTCCTGTTCAGTTGCTCCGTCTACAAGCCTTGCTCCAGCCACACGACCAAAGTTGTTGTTTGCTGAACACTGTTGCACAGAGGATTAACGACCATTCTATCCAGGTGACCGCGTGCAGAAGGAGCCACATGTAGAACCGGTAGCTCTTTGCGCTTCCATATGGTAAGGAATCGGGACTTGGTATCCATAGCGTCGGAGGGTCTTTATCGATACCCGACCGATTGCACGGCACAGGGCTCAGCAGTATCTTCAGTTCATGAGAACAATGTGGAAAGTATAATGCTCCATGTCTGGTGCCTGTTGATGGGATTTGGAGCCAGACAGGAAAGCTCATCAAACCGACTGGACATGCCTAGCCTCAGGCCTGAGGTACTATCAAATTCTACCTTTTGCTGGCCTTGAGCTGACTTGGCTTGGCGGAAAGCGGGCTGCGCCACATGTGCAGACCATGATCAGAAATCTGCTTGAGCCGGAAGGCGTCTCCAGGAACGTCAGATGGCGGGACTACAAAAACGCACATTCTTCATCCAGTTCCAACTTGCTGACAGCATTTCCGTTGCCTATGCATATCCCTGCACACGCTTTTACCACCATTGTCCGCTTTGACGCCACACACATCGGCTGTCCTTGTCGCGGCCTGCCGTTTCTTCGTGCTGCCGTCCAGCATTAGCAGCCATCATCCCCGTTGGTTGGCCCAAGTAGATTCGGGCTCTCTACCCATCCCGTACAGTCGTTACCATTCCTTCCCCACCGCCGTCTACTTCCTGAGCGCTTCTCCCATCTGGACCCGATCGACCACGCCGGCCCACGCGAGCCTCTCCGGGCCTTGATCTTCATTGCTTCGAGCTTTGCCTATTGCTACTGTGTACCCATTCGTTCATGTTTGCTTTGCTTTGCCTACGAATCATAATAGGGTTCCGCTCCCTGGCAGATAGCCTAAGCCCAGACTTTCAGTCTACGGCTACCAAGCCTTGGTCCTTATGTGGACGTTGCTCCCGGGAACGCACTTCTGAATAAGTATGTATGTTATTCCGTCTCTTTCCAGAATTGCGAAATTTGGCGCCACTGAAGGACTCATTTTAATGTCCAAATATACCATTACTTAGCCGGCATTACTCTAGTCTGCTCCATGTTGCTCACATTGTCTAATCCAGTCAAATCGGACTTTGAGTTCAAACCTCATGCCTACTCACCAGCCCTTTCATCTTCTACGGTTGCTCGCTACTCACCCAAGCTCGAAAGTCGGCCTTCTCTCGCTCAAACAGCCGTCTCGTCCTACAGGATGGGTACACCACATCGAGGCCTCCCTCCACCCTCGGCGATGACGCTGCCTGAACCGGGACGAGGGCCTCCATTATCTTCAGGTTTAGGCCAATTACCTCCGGCACCTTCGCAATGGCAGGGCGCAGAAGATGGAATGAAAAACTGGCTGGCGGCAAAGGCTGAAGAGGAACGACGCAAGCAAGAAGAGGAGAGAACGAGGCAGGAGTCTTTGAGGCTTGAGCAGCGCAAAGTTGAACAGGCCATGTTGCGAGAATCAATGCAAGGCGGCATACCACCACATCTCGTCCCCATCATTTTTGCTGGTATTGGAGGTGGAAATCTCGCAAACATGAGCGCCGAGTGGATCCAACAGTACACGGCTCAAGTCCAAGCTGCACAGCAACAGACTCAGATCCAAGCGCAAACGCAGCATTCACCGGATCTGAGGAGAGATCCCCGGACAGTCAGTCAACAACAAGCAGCCATCTACGCCGGGCAATCTCAAACGCCGCAAACGATACTTGCCCCGACTGCAGTTCTATCCGGGCAGCCCTTGTCTGCACAATCTCAACACACCTCACCAGGATATAGCGATTCTAGAGCCTCGCAATCGACAAGCTTCGGGGGCCAACCCACATCTGTGCTTCGACATCCTCCTCAGTCGCAACTCCCTCGATTGACGACAAACGAGATGAATATTCAGCAACCACCAGCTGCACCGTCAGGGGTCCAACAGTTGCAACAAACCCAGAATGCTCAACAAGAGCAGTCATCACCATCGATATACTTTCATCATTGGGTACCACCAACGGCGTCATCACAGCAGGAAAAGAGTGGGAGCGGCCATCCTCCAACGCCATCAGGTAAATACAAAACTTCGCCTACCTACCAGTCCCGTCAACGTGCGACATCTCACGCGTCTGACTTAGAGTACGCCAGCTCCCCCAAAAAGCGGAAGGCCCAAGGCCCACACCAACCGGCTCCACCGCCCACCTCTGCGGCACAGTACACATCACCATCCTTCTCGCACATATCGTCGTCATCGGCATCGACGCCAGGACGACGGGGACATGCAAGAGGTCGTTCGGACGCATCTCAACGAGGACCAGAGAGTGCTGGCGGTTCTCTAAGTCGTCGCAGCACGGTTTCTGGACTTGTGCATGAGACGCTGCCGCGGCAAGAAAAGCATGCCGAAGAATCAAGAGCACCTGAGGGCAAGGCGCGGGCCGACGTGGATCAAACATATGCAACCTCACCTCGTGGGCTTGATGAGCGAAGCCAAGGACTACAAAACTACGCGCCGACATCAACAGGTAAACCTGAAACATCAGGATACGGGTCACATCAGCATTGGGATCGAGGCCAAATGTCATCTCCCAAACGGGAAGTTGGGGACCGTTAAATTGGGTTCAGGTTTCAGTATCGCAACCAGAAGCGTCCGATCAGGCGACCCGCCTCACTTGAAAACGACGACTCCACAGGTTCCGGATATGAAAGCGAAGGTATGGGATCTAGCGCCTATGTACTAGCCCAGGCAACTCCACAAATTATTCTAGGGTTCCCATATCAAGATTTTGCGGCAATCTCAGGCGAAATGAGTGCCGCAAGATGAGATAGCGGCCCATCTCGATTCTTGAACGCAGGGGAGCACGGTCCATGACCCCACCAGAGAACGACTACTCATCTCACGAGATTACATTGCAATGTCCTTTGCAACGCTTCATGCTTTTTCCAATCAAAAACTCTCGTGGTTTGTTCATTCTCAGCCCAGCATTGTTGATCGCAATGCCGCACCCTCTTACTTGGACCCAGCCCCAAGGTGTCCATCTAGATCTCATCTTCAGGCATTCCCGGCGTTTTGGGTTTATCGGCGTACTTTCCCCGATGGCATCGCAGGACAACTTGGTCATTAGAGAATAAAAGACGGGTATTGTGTCTGAAGAGGGCCAAGTGTGCTTGTAGGCATGCATCGCTTCTCCACCTTTTTTCCGGCTCGGTTCCTTCAATCCATGCAGCCTCAGTCACGAGCTACATACTTCGTCAGCGGCACTGCCGCGTCTCGCCTCAAAGCAGCTATTTCCAAAACTGCAGATTGCGAAACCATGCCCATATGGGCGATTAGAGCTTACTCAGCACTTGGATGAAAAATCATCTGATGATTGCATAACTAGGTCTGCGACTTGATAGAGTGTTGTCGCGCTTGGTAGTGCTGCAGTGCGGGATCTCAGACTCGTTATCAACACCGGAATCTTGCAGTTTAGGTCTATTACCAGATCGCTGGAAATCCACTCAAGTTTCCGACATCCATTGATGTTGGCGGATCAATGTCACTTTCCTTGTACCATAGCTTTCAACCCATTCTTGCCGGATCATTCACTGATGACAGAGTTGCGTTGCCCGGCAACCGACCTTGGTCTTTTTCTATTTCGTAACTGGTATCTAAGCTATCACCATTCACCTTTCTCTTCGACTGTACCAAGACCGGATAGCGGGTCTACGGCGTGTAAGAAGGGACTTCACTTCGACTCGGACAACGATGATACAGTCTGACAAGATTGGGGCCGATACTTGTATTAATGGGCAAAAGTAGACGACGAACTGCTTGAGCTTCCCGTTGGCCACAGAGTATTGGCGTAGAATTCAGTTCCCATTGTTATATAGGTGGTTTTCTCACGACTATTTCGATTCTCCGTTCGGCAATTTGCGTCGCCCCGGCATTTCGCGCCTTAGTCTTGCTTTTATTTCTACTCTGTACATACTTCCGGGGAAGGCAGCGTGTGGCTAGTCATTTGTATATCGGGTAGCAAAGCTCGAGCTAGGGCTTGCTGTGTTAGGGGCTACCCAGGTCCCGCTATTCGTGTATATCAATGTGTTTAGATCAGTTAGTAATGTATCGAGTAAAGCAGAGGCGACAGGTTTCAGTCTTGCACCTGGGCACGTCTGCCAGCGCATATGGCTTGGACTTTTCATACCCATGGACCTTTCAAAACTGTGAGTTTGAACACGTGCGTGTACCACATTCTAGGATGGGGGTGTAAGCCTTGCGTCGACAGCGTGTTTCAGCTGTGTGGTGTCAGCTACACTTGGTTGGATGTCAGCGCCCAAGACGTTGGGACTACTGAATCCAGTGCTCAGGACCGGAGGGTTTGTTCATGCAGAAGTGTAACACTGTGCATTGCTGTCAGCAACCCAGGGATGGGGTAGGTATCCCAGGGAAAGGGTCGGGCTGATCATGCAGACCGCTGGCAATGGCTAAAGTGTCCACGACCAGATTAGGTTGCACAAAGGAAACTTCTACAAGTAGCAACTCTTCAGAGGAGTTTTCTCGATTTGGCATCCAGATATTGTTCCAGTGCCATGGTTGCTATTGACGACTTGCCTCTTTGTAGACCAAACACGCCCTTTCGTCACCACATGTGCATGGTGCGGCCATGATCTTAGACCACCAGCAGTACAATGTCCAATGACGTTCTAGAAGCTATCCAAAAGATGATCATACTCTATCCTTCCCTTCACTGTTCACGCCAGTCTTCGCATAAAGAGGACAGACCGTGGAGTGGTATACCATATAGGGCAAGGCGTGGCGTCCCCACGCCACACCGGCCCCGCCTCGTGGCGCAAGGCTTGCCCCACTAACGTAACGTTATGACCAGCAGCCGACTGACGCCCGCCTCACCAAACAAACCCTGGAACAATCGTGACAAACTTGGCTGCCTTCCTCACTCTCTATTCACACAGCTATCCGATACTACCATACTCTCCGCCACGTGCACGTCGGTCACTCCCAACACCTGCCAACCAAAGAGACGGCGTATTTCGCATACCTTGTCAGACCGCGCGACCCACCTCTCTACGATCCTGAAAGCTTTACCAGCACAGTCGAGAGGGCCATAGTGCAGTGTAGGCACGATGCAGATCAAGTATGTGGAGCTTTGAGTTCGCTTTTGAGACTACTTTTCTTGTCTCTCTTCCTCTTCGTCATCTGCATGCAGCGCGGAAGGCAATATCAACGGAACAGAAGAGCGATAGGCTAACAATACGCACAGAGTACGCACTTTGACCGGCAAGGAAATCGAGCTTGACATCGAAGCCGACTACAAGGTCTCGAGGATAAAGGAGCGCGTGGAGGAGAAGGAGGGAATTCCACCAGCACAACAGAGGTTGATCTACGGGGGGAAACAAATGTATGTTCCAGTCATCATGTATACGACGTCATAATACCTATGCGTGGATTTGGCCTTGCAGGACTTGATGTTGGGGTTGAACACTTGCTGACATGTGGTATAGGGCAGACGACAAGACTGCGGCTGACTATCAGCTCGAGGGCGGTGCTACGCTGCATTTGGTCCTTGCGCTGAGAGGTGGATGCTAAGCTACGACTGCGCGAATTTACATCGGAAGACACACGCCTGTGGATGCGTATATACGGAAGTGGAGTGGATTGGCCTTCTCGAAAGTACCTAGCATTTCGAAGTGCTGTCATGGGCTCTCAACATCGCCATGCTGTAACAATCCTCACAAGGACCGTCTCCGGACCGGGAGCGGAGGCTGGAGCAGGAAGACCGAGCTGAAAGTCCCAGTGGATGGCTTTGTATTTGGTAGTAATGAAGACCCATCAACTACATCACACACTCCATGCTTGTCCACTCCAAGAGATACACGTGCTTACCTGATTAGTTGGAGATGCATCCACGGCCACCAGCTCAACAGTCCTTGTGGCAGCGGCCTTGGAGCGATTGTACGGAAATGGCCAGCGGTTAGGGCTCATGGTCGTATATTCAATAATTATCTCGTAATTGCGCCTAAGCCTGTAGAGTCAAGACTACCTGGCAGTATGCAATTAGACCGCGGCTTTCTCGCAGTATAAGGAAAGGCTTTATTTTAGTTATGCGGGGGTTGTATGAATTGGTCTGGCGAGCAGCTTACTGTGGTACGTGCTGTACAGGTACCATGTTATCTTGCTTGTCATGAAGTGCGCAGATTTCAGCCCCTGTGTGGGTAAGATTCCTAAACTCATAACGTATCTCGTAAAAATTACTGCCTCGATGATTTTGGATGTATCCTCCTCTTGCCGTAAATGCTAGAAGAGCACTTCTGCAAGCCTTGATTTTCGCGCATTCTACAACTCGGAGCTTACAGTATGTCTTGTTCTGCAATTCTGCCTATATATTGGTTTACGGCCGAACAGGGATCATCTATCACCATCCTGGGACCATATCCAGTCCCTGGTTCCCGCATGGACATTGCGTTCTATTCCTCGGATATCTCAACGCTGACTACAAAGTCTGGCAGATCTAGCCCGATTTTTTTTTTCAGTCTCTCAACGCATCGACGTTTTTTCTGCCCTTGTGAATGCTCGCAGCTGAAGACGTCATGTCAGGGTTGTTTGAGAGGAGCAAATTTCTTTGCGGCTTCCCTTGGAAACAATCTCAAAATGGTACTTTTAGGGTCGCACAAGTTGATTGTCGCTGTGGAATCGCTAATGTAGTGGTCCGGGGTCCTGGATGTGATGATTGCGTTGATAACGAGACGGACAGTGAATGGACCGCATTTTTTCTTTGACAGTGAAAGTTGTTGGCCAAGTTTGCATAGTGGAATTGGTGGCCTACAAGCTCTGTGTGAAAGTAGAATTATCCTGTCAATGTAGCTTATACTTTATAACTAATACTTTATAGCTACTACAGCAAGGGCTGTAGTATGTGTAAGCTTACAGATCTATCAATTGAAGTAGCTATTGTGTCATCTAGGAGCACGAGAGAAACTCATCTCAGCCTACTATAGGTGTTTGAGCTATTATACTTACTCATGATCCATCCTCGTGGATTGATAATGCGTACCCCTCTGGTCGTTTGGCGCAGTGGAAGTCGACGCTACATTCTGACACCAACATTCCTTCCGCAATACTGGAGTACACAAGTAAAGATGGTAGTGAAGAGTCACTACACCATCTGCTAGTAAAACGAAAAATTAGGAGACCAAAGCTGTGGGCAAGAGCGGGAAATATATCAGGACGAGAACGGAATGCACGCTTGACCCGGCCTGATTGAAGTGTCAGAGTACAAATTGTATTCAAACAGTTCTGGTATCTGGTAAAACGACTTCTATCATTTTGATCTTGAAGTCACCTGATAGACATAGCCAATGGCTAGCACGTGAACTCGCGAAGCAACCTTGGAAGTGCCCCGCATTGGGTTTCAAATCTAACCAAGTCCACATATCTTGGCGTCTACCAAAGTGTACTGGCAACAACAACTTGACGCAGCCTCATGCGCGTGCATGATTCGATCTACCAAAGCTTCCCGCTACTGCTAATGCCCAAACTTGTGGTCCGATTCGAAGCAAAGAGTACGTCAAATGGCTTCATCACTTGTGCCTGGACCTGGCTTCTCCTGTACTATATGACGGCATGTATGTTCCCAGAAGCCAAACAAGAGTACAACAAACAACACGACTGCCACGGGTAGATTGTTTGCCTCAATGCACTTCACCGCAATTCCAGCGCTAGCATCAGCCGCTGTCTTGAAGGCAGGCTCCGCATTACGGTAGTGGCGCTGCCGCGGGGCAATTGTTCGCTGTTGACCAACCGCGACGTGGAGCCAGGAAGCCTGTCTGTGTGAGTTGTCGCTACCATTTGATAGGTAGGTGACGTCGGTCTACATCTGCAGCTACGACAAACATGGCAACGCTGACTCTTCAAGAATAAACTTGGACACTGAGTTCACAGCTGTTCATAAGCCTACCTTCGTCCCAATTATCCCTCAATTAGCTGAATCTATCATCCATCATGGCTTCTTCCCTAGTCGATACATTGACAGCTTCTGGAGGCGCTGAGTCTGCAGGTAACCTGCTCACTCTTTGACAATGACTGTATGCTAACACGGGTCAGGGTTCCTCAACGACATTGTCGCTCAATTGTGGCCCAACATCTGTGTGGCTGGCGCCCAGATTGCAAAAGATACCGTAGAGCCAATCCTCGCTTCTACTCTCCCAGGGCCCCTTTCCAACCTCAAGTTTGTGAAGCTTGACTTAGGCAAAGTCCCTTTTCATTTCTCCAATGTGGACGTTCACAGGACCCCTACCGAGGGAATCAAGCTTGACATGGATGTGAAATGGGAAAGCGTATGCGATATTGAGCTCGATGGTTCTCATGTACCTAAGATTGTAAGTCATGTTTCGGATATCGACTTGATTTCATGGGGATCTAACATATCATAGGGTATCGAGGGGGCGCACCTGAAAGGCCGGCTGACAATACTACTTTGCCCTCTCATAAACGTCATTCCTCTGGTAAGAATGAATCTGAAGCCACCATGATACACCATCAATGCTAAAAAAATTCTTAGATCGGCGCCATTCAGGTCTCCTTCATCAACACACCGAGCCTTAAGCTTGACTTCACAGATGCCGCAAATATTGCCGACTGTTTCTTGATCGAGAAGACCGTACGAAACGTCATTCTTGGCATCATCGAAGGCATGGCCGTCCTTCCAAACCGCTTTCTCGTCAAACTCGACAACAACAACGACTACTTCAAGACCTACCAACCCCATCACGGCATCATCCGTCTGACAATCGAAAAGGCAACCGGCATCACGGCCCCCAAGAAAAAGTCTGGCGTCTCCCGACTGCTAGCCAAAGTCGTCAAGGACGTGCCAGACTGCTACGTCAAAGTCAAAGTAGGCGCCGAAGCAGAATGGCGCACGTCTGTCCAAAAGAACGACCACGACCCCGTCTGGAACGAGACTCACGACTTTCTAGTAGCAGACTACGAGCAGGGCATCTCGGCCGACATTCAAGACGACGACCTAGCTGGCGACGACGACATTGGCCTTGGCTACACCACCATCAAGGAAGTCCTCCTCAACGGCGGAACGCATGAGCTCGCCCTCTCCCACAAGGACGAACCCACAGACGCCCGTCTAACCGTACACGCCCAATTCTACAATTTCGTCCCCGAAGCCTCGCTCCTCTCCGCCCAAAGCGCCGCAAACACCGCTCCTGACTCCATTTGCGGTCTCGCTACCATCCTCGTCGCCAGCGCGTTGGGTCTCCAGGGCCAGCGCGACGAACTCAATCCCAGTGTGCGGGTCACTTGGGGCGACAAGACGTTTGCAACGCCGGCCAAGACGTACACGCCCGGTACGGATATCTTCAATCCGTCGTTTGATCAGGCGTTTAGGATCCCGTTGACGGCTAATATGCTTGCCGATCCGGCAGCCATGGGTAACTTTAGAATCTCGCTGATGAACAAGGGCGTGGAGAGTGGGACTGCGGAGGTTGGGTTCGAGGATGTGCTGGGAGCGCAGGGGTTGACGAGGGAGGACAGCTTTGATGTTGGGGGTGGAGCGACTGTTAGAGCGAAGGTCATGTTGCAGGGGATTCAGTTGGCTCAGTAGGATATTGGGCGTGGAATGGCGGTGGTTAGAGGACGCAGTACTGTTGGATTTTGGAATCGGCAGGTCTGACTTGTGCACAAAACCTACATATAGGGGACAAGTGCAGTATATCATGTTCCATTCATCAGTATAAACAAGGTATTTCTTGACTTTGGAACCTCTCTCCTCCAGCCAAAGAAAACCAATTACCATTCCCTGATCTCCCCACCGGGCCCGATAAATCCCGGACTCACCCACGCCTTTACATCCTTACTCTCCCGCCTCACCCACTCCTCATCGACCTCGATGCCCAACCCAGGGCCCGTCATAAGCTCAATATACCCATCCGTGACCTTCCACACCTCGGGATTCTTCATATAGCTTGTCAAATCCGCACTGCCCGCATTATAATGGATCCCCAGGCTCATCTCCTGAATCGCAAAATTAGCCAGCGTGCAATCGACCTGACAGCATGCCGCCAGCGCAATAGGACCAAGGGGCGAATGCGGGGCAATCGCCACATCATACGTCTCCGCCATATTGGCTATGCGGAGGAGTTCGCTGATGCCGCCAACGTGCGAGATATCCGGCTGCAGGATGTCGACGCAGCCAGCCTCGAGAAAGGGACGGACGTCCCAGCGCGAATGGAGGCGTTCGCCCAGGGCAATGGGAAGGCAGGTTTGCTGGGCCAGGGCGGTGATGCCGCCAATGTGTTCGGAGAGGAGGGGTTCTTCGATGAAGAGGGGGTGGTGAGGTTCTAGGGCGCGGGCGAGCTGCTTGGCCATGGGTTTGTGGACGCGGCCGTGGAAATCCATGCCCGCGTCCATGTTTAGTGCTTTTACGGTCTCGAGGCGGGTTACGGCCGAGGCGAGGGCGGAGGGCGAGTCGAGCCAGCCGAGGTCTTCGGTGGCGTTCATTTTGACGGCGGTGAAGCCTTGGGATTTACGGGCGAGGCTGGGGTAATGTGGGTTAGTGGATGGTGGTGTATGACATGGTGTGTAAGAGAAAGAGTCAGGGACGTACGCCTGTTCTTTGACATCTTTGGGTCTGTCGCCACCGATCCATGCATAGACTTTTAACTTGTTTCGTACTTTCCCACCGAGGAGCTGGTAGATGGGTACATTCATCCTGCGCGCCTTGAGATCCCAGAGGGCAATGTCGATGCCTGCCAGCGCACTCATGAAGACGGGACCGCCGCGGTAGAAGCTAGTTCGCCATGACATTTGCCAGATATGCTCGATATCACTGCAGCCACAACGGTTAGCATTCTTGACATGGGAGTTTGGGGCCTGTTTTTGGAGTACAAGAGTGTAGACCTGAACCTACTCTGCTTCAAACCCAGTGTACCTCTCTGCCCATGCATCCAGGCACCCTTCAACGGCTTGTGTGTGTCCTTCTAGGGAAGCTTCACCCCATCCAAAATTCCCCTCCTCATCTGTGATCTTCACGAAAAGCCATCGCGGCGGTACTCGAAAGTACTCAATACTTGCAATCTTGCCCATGCTATCTCTTTCAAAGTTGAATTGATCGTATGATCTACTTCTTCTATCCTAACGTGTACTTTGTAAGTACTAAAAGCCTAGATTTCTGGCTACACAGCTTAGTTGTGACGGTAAACTGTATATTGAAGATTGAAGATGAGTACCTGCGATTGCCTACTCAAATACCAACAACCAAAAGTTCGTCGCCTGCGCGTGCTCAACCTGAAACACTTGCTTGCATGGTTCAAGACCCGTTTCCATCCAATTCGAGGCCTGGAATGAGCGAATGCCATGGCGTTCCCACGCCGTCCCCTCGTAGTAACCCGAATGTCGGCGCGGGGTTGATGGCGGGGCATCCAGCCTCGGTTCCTGGAACAATGTAGACCGAGGGAGTCGAAGACGTGACAAACATTCAACGTGATTAAAAAGTCCCCCACTGTCCCACATACTTGCACTGTGAAATCTTTCCAGCTGGTTTTCCACCTCAAACGTGTCCTGTTCAGCGAGGAAATTGTATTGTAAACGGGAAGATTATACAACTAGCAAATCATGGCGACTTCACCACCAACCGGCGTATTCGTCCCAGTCCCTACCTTCTTCAAACCTCACTCTTCCTCCCCGTCATCCCTGCAACCGGCCGTCGATGTAGAAACACAGATTGCACACTCCATCTTCCTTGCAAAGAATGGCGTGCGTGGCCTTGTGCTCCTTGGCTCCACGGGCGAAGCAATCCACATGTCGCGACAAGAGCGCATCGACCTCGTCTCCGGTGTGCGCAAGGGCTTGACGGATGCCGGGTTCCCCAACTACCCGATCATGGCGGGGACGCTGGTGAACAGTGTAGATGAGACATTGGAGTGGCTGGAGGATTTCAAGAAGGCGGGGGCGCAGTGGGGATTGGTGCTTGCGCCGGGGTATTTTGGGGCGGCGGCGGGAGTGGAAGGGGTGGTGGAGTGGTATCGGTTAGTGGCGGATAAGAGTCCATTGCCTGTTTTGATGTGAGTGTTTTTCATCCTCTTCTATCCGTTCTGGGCATTGTCGTCAATGGGGATGGCAGAAAGTGGGCTGATGTGCAGGGCAGATACAACTATCCAGGCGTGTCAAACGGACTGACCATCACACCCCCTACCTACCGTACGCTAGCCCAACACCCCAACATTGTGGGCTGCAAGATGTCTCACGCCATTGTTTCCTACCACAACCAAGTCTCGCTGGATCCTAAGATTGACCATGCCAAGTTCAAAGTCTACTCTGGCCTTGGCCAACAACTCGGTCCCATCGTCTTCTTCGACGCTGCAGGTGTGATCGACGGTCTCGCAGCTATATACCCCAAGACAGTGTGCACATTGATGAAGTTGGCGGAGGCGCGGCCCATCACCGACGAGAACTTGAAGAAAATCAAGGAGTTGCAGTACACGGTGAGTTGTGCAGAGGAGTACATTGGCAAGTACGGCATTGTGGGGATCAAGGAGGCAGTCAAGCGCGTGACGGGATATGGAACAATGGAGGGAGGCAGGTTACCGCTCAAGGGCAAGTTGCCAGACGGTGAGTGGGAGAAGTGGAGCGAGACTTGGGAGAGGATACAAAAGATGGAGGATTCTTTGAGCGAGAAGGATTTCAAGTAGATGGATTAGCAAGAACGAAATTAGAGATTGCAAGTTGTGGCCCCAAACAGCGTTCTTGACTCTTTGAAATGCCCGCTCGCAAACCCTTGTCACCAACTGGCAGATGTGAACAAGACCAACATCACACCCATCATGCAGACCATTACGATAGAAAGAGATCCAGGCGTCATCTTTACCGCACCTCCAAGCGGTGGTCCGTCCGGCGATGGAGTGATTGTACCTTGTCCACGCGATCCTCCCTGGTTATTGGATCCTCCTTGATTACTCGACCCACCCTGGCCACCTGATGCATCGTCTTGGCCTGGCCCTCCGACTTGCCCGCCATCACCTCTTCCCGAAGTCTCAATCGGAATGTCTTGTATAGGTTGGCCAGGCGGGTTATTGACACTCGCAACCTGAGTCTGAAAGTCGACCATTTGATTCTGGATATTCTCGCACTGCATTCTTCCTCCATTGGCACTCAGCGGCCCGGGAATGGGGTTGGTGGACAGTTGGCCTGCGCCCGGGAACCGGTTTATGGAATTGGAGACTGATATGGGGAGGTTGAAGATTGTGTATCGATCAAACCCGTTCAACTTGTAGTTTTGATGGATGGAGATGTTGTAGTCTCCTCTTGCTCCTCCTTCGTTGTCGTTGCCATCGCCTACGAGGCATTCTGGCCATTCAAAGTTGATGTGTTTCACTGTCTGTCCTAATTCCTGATCGAGTATGTTTGCAAACGGCGGGGTTTGCGTGGTAATGTTGGATATAGTAAAGTTCTTCTGCAGGCTGTCGCTTGTGAGGAAGAGAGTGAAGTTGTAGACCTGAGTAAGGGCATCATTGATGTTGCGTGGTGGCACGGCGAGCTTGCCATCACCAGAGACATCGAGTGCAATGTGTAAGAAATCGCCACCCATGGGTGTGAAAGGCTGAGGCTGGTGTTTGGTTAGCTGGGGTATATTCCATTATCAGATGAAAATCAATCGTACTGCAAGTATGATGCCCAGTCCTGGTGTAAATACCCTTCCGTTCACTATTGTAAACGCGCTCGTGTCGGGTCCATTATTATTCCCATTCTGCCCATTGCCATTGCCATTGTTATTGTTATTGTTATTGTTATTGTTGTTGTTGTTACCACTCTGTCGACTTTCAAGACGTCTATCACCAGCCCATACACCCAACATCTGCGCATGGACGAGTGGCCATATTGTACATGTGAAAAGAAGTAAAAACGCCGCGGAGAAAGGCGTTGACAAGATCATTGCTCAACGACGATGCGCATACTGTCCAGCAGTGAAGTAGAGTAGCAAAAGGCGAGAATCGCAAAGAGAAAGAAGGAAGAGGGGGAGAGCTCAGCTGGCGCAATGGAAATGCGTGTTGTGTTCACGGATCAAAGGCAGACATGCTGTTCGTCATGGTCGATCAGCCCATTGGCTGGCGGAAATCCCATCTCTGAGAGGGACCGAGTGCATGAGAGTTAGGACTATAGTTCAAGGCTTTATTCGGGAGCTATAGGCTTCCTTCCAAGACAAGCAGCCGTCAAGATTGGTTGGATGGTTTTGTAATTGTGTTGATGAGACATGAGGTGTCTGGGGTGCTTAACGGCTGTCATGGTTGCCGAGCCTGAGGATCGCGAAGCAGGGTAGGACTCAAATGGACCAGTGGGTGGGTAGTCAGTCCTACGAGTGAGTACTCTATCGATGTGTACATATTCCTTTCTCCTCGGCCTATTCCATGTTGAAGGACGAGGGATGCTTCGGAGCGGTCTGAGGATGCAAGCGATGTGGTGCATGGTGTGGGGTTGGTGGGTGGGTGCTGTTGAGTTCTGTTGAGGCTTCTTTGAAGTGGACATCATCTTGACCACAGTGTCTTCTTTTTCTAGAAGTTAAGGGCTGGTGCGACGAAAAGTGGTTGATCCTCTATCTTGGAGTCATGTGCATGTGCATGTCAAGTTGTAACGTGTATGCGCTTGTCGGGAGAAGAGAAGACCGTAGATGTACGGTGG